CGGGCGAAGCCACGCCACCCCGCGCAGGTAGGCGCGAGGCCGTCGTCCAAAACCAGCCATTCCAAGGCCCCGATGAACGTGCCGGGGAAACGCACCCTCGTTGTCGGTCCGTTGCCCACCCCGAGGAACATCCCCATGTTTGCGACGACCTGCTGCGCTTCTGGTTGAGCGGAGAGTTGTCGCACGCACCGACACTCGCGACCCGCTCCGTCCAGACCAAGGCTCGCAGGGTCTGGTTGGGCACCGTCGACCCAGGCGGCCCAGCCGCCCTGGCGCACACGTGGTCGATGAACTGCGCAAGATCGTCACGGGCAATGGGCCCCAGTGCGCGCGCAAGAGCCACCTGCGCATCGCTTCCATGGACCGCACGTTTAACCTCACTGTGTTGATGCGCGCGCGGCCCCCGACGCCGTCCTTCGCCCGCTCTGGAACCGTGCACAGACTGCGCCGTCTCGAGGGAGGGCGCTGTCCTCCCGACGCTTCCACCGAGCCCACTCCTGCACCTCCAGCCCGCGCCGGCTCGCTTCCCCGGCAGCGCGGCACCTCCGCGCGAAGCGGGTCCCCGCCATCGCACAGGCTCCTGACGGCGGCGGGATTCGGCCGCACCTCGGTCGTCCGTCAATCGGAGGCACGCTGCGGCATCCTCCAGCGTGGCCCCGTCGGGGGGCAGCCACGGCACGCCATCACGCGTTTAGAACGGTTTCCCCAGCAACGGCCCGCTACACGAGCTCCCTCCCTGGCTGCCGCGCCTCCTCCACGCTGAGGTCCGCGGCCTCCGCCACGTACACGCGGGGTCCCTTCGTACTCGGCCCCTTCCGCCTGCAGCGCGACGCGCGGGCCGAGGAGGTCGCGCTCGTGCAACGCCTTGCTGGCCCGCCGCCACGCTGCGTCGAGGGCGCACGACCCAAAGGCCAGCATCTGCGCCCAACCGTTGTTCAAAACCGACCGAGCGCCTGAGCCCAAATGGCCACAGGCATCGGGCAGAGTGAGAGGATACACTTTCGTGTTGGCGCATGGAGGCAGAAAGACAGCGATGGAACAGGAAGAGGAGGAGGAGGAGGAGGAGGAGGAGGAGAAAAGGAGGAGGGAGGAGGGAAGAGCGGGCGGAAGAGGATCTGACATATCAGGAGAAACAGAATGGCCTGAGGAGAGGGGCGCAGAAGGGAGGGAAGGACCCAGACCCCCGACGTCGCGACTTTTGTTTCAGCGTCGACCCCCAGAGGTCTGGACCCCTTCCCCCCGGGGACCGTTTTTTTAAACCTGGGTCGTTGTGTGGCGGTGCTGAGGCCCGGCGAGGGCCACCAGGGGCCGAAGATAACAGAAAACCTCCCGTCGTGATCTCGCCATCGATCGGACGTCCATTCCCTGTGCAATTTTCGGTTTCGCGCGTGAACTTTTCGCAAGGTGAGCAAGCATGCTCCTCGATGGTCCTCGCCGGGGGAAAACGCACACGTCCGAGCGACGCCAAGCTCAACACAAAGGGGGTCTGGGGATCGGGCAGAGGGCGCCGAGGCTGAGCACGACAGGGCGATCTCCCCGACGAGAGCCCCCCGAAAGGCCGCCGACCACCTGTAGGGCCACGTCCGCGGGCACGCCGTCGTCCTGGGCGGCCCCTCCCCCCTGCCCTGGAAGGGCGGGTGCCGTCGCAAGGCTCCTCCTCCTCCTCCTCCTCCTCCTCCTCTCCCTCCTCCTCTCCCTCCTCCTCTCTATTTCGCCCTTCTCTGCCTTTTCCCGGCCCTCCTCCTTCTCCTCCTCCTCCATTTCACCCTTCCTTCTCCGTCTCCTCCCTCTCCTCCTCCTCCTCCTCCTCTTCCTTTCGTTCGCCTCAGCCTGAATCTGGGTCCAGACGGCCGCGCATGCGAGACAAAATATGTTAGCGCGTGGGCACCGTCGTCACTGCCGACGGTCTCAGCCTCGAACGGAGAAATTGGCTCCTGTAGGAATGCGCCAGACATAACAACAGGGAAACGGATCGCGCGAGCGCAGCTCACCGCGAGTTCTTCTAGATGCCAGTCGTTGGCCAAACACGAGTTAACACGATTCCGCCGACCACGTGCAACAACAACTTCGTTTCACGCAAATCGAATTCGGCATCTCCAGTTTCCGGAGCTCGTATGTACCACGACCGTTTCTGGTCCATGCTGTGATTCACAAGATGATTGAATATCCTGTTAGGTGTCTGGCGTCTCCAATGGACCGCGCTGCCAATATCCAAGGCCAGCCTCCAGCCATCGTCCATCACAAGCGATAACAAAAAAGACGGTGTGCGACGCGTGCAATTGGTTATGATGGCAAATCCCGTCTCCGGCGCCCCTTCGCCGCGGTCAGCCAGCAAAATTTCCACTGGGTGGTCCACCACCACACGTCGGCACTGTGCTGTGAGAGAACTGATCCCACAATGTAGCTTCGAGCACGTTTGTCTTGTGGATGCGGAGAGGGCCCCAGCGCATGTACACCATCTTTTCGAAGCCAGAACAAATATGTATCCATACGGGCATCGTCCAGTAGTCCTCGCGCGCTGGTCGCCAGTCAGTACCATACGTCATGACGAACACATTCTCCCACTCCACACGGTGACCATCCATCATGGCCACCCGCTTCAATGCGACGATGCTTTTCACTCAAGCGCGCTCGCGTAGCTCCCCGGACCACACGACAGCACTGTACACGTGCAGCTGCCAGACAAATTGCCACGTTGTGAGGCTCAAGCTTGACATCCCTCTATGTTCCCGTGAAAATTTCCCCGACCACACGAAGACGTGTAGTGGCAATTGTCGTGTTGTGCGAAGCCGTCTTCCTCTTTCTCTTTCTCCTTCTCTCTCTCTCTCTCTTTTTCTCTCTTTCCTCTCTCCAGTAGCCTCGCAATCCTGGTCAAGAAAATGGGTCATCCTTTGCCTGGTCAGAGGCACGCTCCGAGAAACGGAAGCTCGCACCACCGCAAACTTACGAGCGCACGCTGTGCCAAATGCCAAACGGTAGACCCGTGAGCTGCACTAGCCGCAGGACCGTCCATGCCTTCAGCTTGTCCGACATGGAGACCGGACCGCGCCAGACTCCAGCCTTTCACCAATAACTACCAACAGCCTTTGCCAACTGGTGCTCCATGCAATTGGTCGCGTCTGCCTCCTTGCTCACCCAGACACCCAGTGTGCCATATTTGCCTCCTTCCCCTCCTCCCTCCCTCCCTCCGCCTCTCTCCCTCCTTCCTTCTCCCTACTACCTCCTCCTCCTCCTCCTCCTCCTCCTCCTCCTGCTCCTCCTCCTCCTCCTCCTCTCCGTCCTCCTTCTCCTGCTCCTCCTCTCCCCTCACTCCTGTTCCAGCTCCCGCTCCTCCATTCCGTCCTCCTTCTCCTGCGGGGCTCGTGCTCCAGCCCCTCCCTCCTCCTCCCCCCTCCTCCGCATCCTCCTCGCCCTCGTCCTTGCCCTCGTCATTGCACTCATCGTCTTCCTTTTCCTTTTCTTCCTCTTCATCGTCTTCGTGGTCGTTGTCGCCGCCTTCCGCCTCCTCCTCCTCCTCCTCCTCCTCCTCTACTCCTCCTCTTACTCCTCCCCTTCCCTCCTCCTCCTCCTCCTCCTCCTCCTCCTCACTCCTCCTCCTCCTCCTCCTCCTCCTCCTCCTCCTCCTCCTCCTCCTCCGCCTCCTCCTCCTCTTCGGCTGTTTGCATCAGCGACCCGGAGAGAAGCGTCACCCCACTGCCGCCTGCGCGCAAGGCCAAAAGTCGCGCCTAGAGACTCCGCGTTTCACAGGGCCCCTGACGGAGCGATCGCCTTGGCAATCATGGATGCCGCGAGGATCGCCCAAACTAGCACCGTAGTCATCGATGCCAGGACGGCCGCAGACGTCCACGCACACATCGTCGACGATGCAGCCCATGTCTGTGATTAAAGGCGTCTTCGCACTTTGAGCGTGCCGTTTCAAAGGCTCTCGGAATCGGGGTTATCAGAAGAAGCACGGGGAGGAAGACGAGAGAAGGAGGGAGGGGAAAGAGGAGGAAGAGGAAAAGGGCGAGAAGGACCCGGAAAGCCGCTTATGATCAGCAATACAATTACCCCTAACCCTTTGGGAGGGGACCTGAGTAAGGCAGGCCTCAAACATGAGCGGTAAGGGGTCTTTCCTGCAGATGTATCAGGCCAAACCGCCCAGACGTATTCTCCCAAATGCGAAGACGGGGACCTGCGTGAGGCCACTTCTCCATCACGCCGTCAGGGTTGCAGGGGCCCTCCTGTCCTCGATGAGTCAACCCTGCTCACCAAGAGCCCTGAGACGGTACGACCGAGCACCTCATCCGTGCGCTCCGCCAAGCTTCGCGAAGGCCACCGTGCGGAGGCCCCGCGAAGGCCGCCGTGCGAACCGCCAGCGGCCGCCACGCTGGCCGGGCGCCGCCCGGGCCCGGGCGCCGGGCGCTGAAGCGCCCGCGCCTACTGCGCGCGGCACGCGCCGTGCTCGTCGACCCCGCTCGAAGCCGTGCCGCAGCTCCGCGGCCCAGCGCAGCGCCCCGCGCGCCCAGAGGCGGACCTCCGCCCTCCGCGCGGGGCGGGCGTCCAGCGCGGCGGCCGCCCTGCGCCACGGCGCGCGGCAGCCGCCGCCGGCCGCGGCTGGGGAAACCCACAAAGGTACCGATACTGCTACGGTGGGAGCTCGACCACAGGAAGCCTTCCACAAGAAGCCCGACCCCGAGAGCCCAGGACGTCCATGGGATGTCTTCGGTGCGGGAACACGCCACGCTGTCCATCGCAGAACCACATCGAGCCCCCAGAAGCCCAGGGCGCCCTGGAGGCAGGCAGGGTGCCTCTTGGCATGGGCCTCCACTGCAGCGGTATGGGTCGGGGATGGACAGACCCCCCTTTAGTAAAACGTGGTTTAGCGAAAACGCCCTCGGGCCCAAACCTGGCGGGCGCAAGCCTGGAAAATAACGGCCGCGGCGCCCTCTCGAGAACCGAAAACGGACAATTCACTAATCGACGTGTCACTGTTGGGGGTTCTGTCCACCCCCGAATGGGGGCACCTCTGCCTCCCTCCGGCGAGCCGCGCCGCGCCCCGCCCGTGGGAGGGCACGCCGCGCGGCCGCCCGTCGCCGGGCGGCGGCGGGCCGTCGCGCCCGGAGCCTCACAGCTCCTCGGCGCCTCTGCCGGCCTCCAGCTCCTCGATCTCCTCGGAGGGGCCCAGGGGCACGCCGAGAAGCAGTCTCCCCCTGAGGTTCCACAGGTTCTGCAGTGTCGTCTTCCCCCCCCCCTCCACCCCTCCACCCACACCCTTTCCCACAGATTTGCATGTTTATTTGTTCTTGGGGATCGACGATGCCTTGCTTGTGTCTGTGTGATCTCCCCCCTCCTCGCCATCGCTCGGACGTCCATTACCTGTGCATGTTTCGGTTTCGCACGTGTATCGTCGCCAGGTGACCAATGAGGCTCCTCGATGGCCCTCGCCTGGGAAAAATGCGCACGTCCGAGCGACGCCAGGCCTCCTGGCTCCTTGAGGCCCTCCACAGTCGCCTGGAAGTCTGCCTCCAGCTCCTCGAGCTCGGCCTCCTTCTCCTGCGCGCGGTCGCCCCGGATCATCACGCCCCCATGGGACGCACATCGACATACTGGTACTGTATGTCCTCCCTGAGGCGCGCGTCCGACCCCAACATGCAGTATACCAATCTTGTAGTACATCATTTCCCGAGCGGTGTGGCCAGAAAGCGCCCGCCACGACGCATATACTGTAAGATTTCTCGGTGCGCGCGTCGCCCCTGGGGGGGGGGCGACGCACACATAGTATTAGTATGCTGGGGTGATGCCGATCCCACTCTGACTCTCCCGTTTCACTTCCAGCGAGGTGGCCGGAGGGGGCGATTCGAGAGCGGGCAGAGAATTGAGCAGGGACCGGCCGTCCCCGCATTCCTATAGGCCTGCCACGACATGTTCGTAGAGCCCTGAAACGTTCCAGTAACAAAAACAATGTTCCTAGAGCATAAAGCCGACGTGTTCAAACAAGACCGTCTCGGCCAGAAATGTTCTAAGAACATTTCGGGCAAGCCACAGGAGGTTCTTCGAACATTCTTTGATGGGCCTATAGGCAAGCCAGGACGCTTCGCCACTGCTTGAGAGGAACGGCCCGAGGCAGAAGCGATGGAGGGTGGCCCGGGAGGGGGTGCAGAGAAAAGAGGAGCGACCTGAAGGAATCCGTTCATGAGGAGGCAGGAGGGCCCAGGATCGAACCGATCAAGGCGCATCGGCGATGGAAACGAATCGGATCGGTGGAACTCGGCAGCCAGGTCGGGAGAAGTCGAATCGACGGAAATCGACAGGCTAGCGAGGCCTCCATCGAGAAACCGAAATCCAAATCGGAACCCGAAGTCGAGTCGAATCGGAATCTGAATCGATCGAGATCGAATCCAATCGGGTCGGAGGAATCGACACGAGCCCTACGACGGGGATTGGGTAGCCCGGATCCTTGCGCAGTTCCGCGCTCATCGCGGACAGTTCATCGATCTGCTCGATCTCCGCCTCCTTCTCCTGTCAAGATTGCAAGAAGGACACAAAATATAAGCACACTGGTGCGACTGTGTCCGTTCTGGATGTTTGTGCCATCCCCGCGTGCCATCTGAACTCGCATGGGAATACGTATGCTTGTTTACCTGCAGTGCTTGCGTGAACGCGCTCTTATCTGGTGCGTGAAGAATTGGGAATGTGTGGCATGGTCCCGCCGCAGTTGGCAGAGCACGAGGCCCATGTCCCACCTTTGCCCAGCCAGATGGGGTGTGGCCGATGCTGTCTGATGTCTCGCCGATGGGGTTCCTGCGTGCATTGCCTAGGGTGGCCGAACTCAGCCGTAATAGGTCGCCGCCTACAGTCGGCCCGTATCATAAGGATGCGCGATAAAGATGCAAGGGGCTTGGCCGCCCATTTCGGGGCTTTCCGAGGGGGGCGCGGTCAACGAAAGTGGCCAAGGATGGCCGAGGAGGCAAGGATGCAAGGGTACCCCTGGGAAAGCTGCCCATCCTTACAGTGCGGGCTGACTGTATCATGTCCCACGCCCATTGCCCTGGGCGGTCGGGCTCAACCGTCACAAGTTCCCGCACGCACGGTGCCGCGCTCATTGCCCCGGGCAGTGGGGTCAAGACCCGCTCCCGCTGCCCAGGATGCGAGGGTCCAGCTGTGGCAAGCACTGGGTCCCAACCGCAAAACACCGCTCCTGTAGAGGAAAGAGAACTGTGCACATACACCGATTCTGGCCAGGCCCATCCTGAGCCCAGGATCGGTGCATACGCCCTCCTGCCTTGGCCAGGAAGGCATATGCACCGATCCTGGGTCAAGGATGGGCCTTGCCAGGATCGGTGCATGTGCATAGTTCTCTTCGCCCGATCCTGCTGCCATGGGTGGTGGGGCCACAGAGTCATCGCCGAAAAAGGAACCCGAGTTAGCCCTGATCCGAGTTACCCCTGATGATGTGGGGCTCTGGACGCCCGAGTTATCCGGGGTAACTCGGGTCCGGGATAACTCGGGTTCGGATTCCCGAAAAAGGAACCCGAGTTAGCCCTGACCCGAGTTACCCCTGATGATGTGGGGCTCTGGACGCCCGAGTTATCCAGGGTAACTCGGGTCCGGGATAACTCGGGTTCGGATTCCCGAAAAAGGAACCCGAGTTTATCCCTGACCCGAGTTACCCCTGATGATGTGGGGCTCTGAGCTCCTGCTGTCGGTGGGTGGTGGGGCCACAGAGTCATCGCACATTGCCTCGCCCTATTCGAGTCCCGCCGTCCTGCCCCCATCGCCCCTTGACTCCCGCCTACGGGGTGCTGTCCACCGCTCCCAGCCCCATAGGGTCCCGCCTTGAGGCTCCGCTCAGGCCTTCCCGTTCGCCGCGTCATTGAAGGGGCCCCGGGACGCACAAATAAATGCACACAAATAAAAAGGTTCCCCATATTTTCCCATATTTTCTGGGTTCTTGTCTTCCCCCCCACTTCCCATATTTTCCCATATTTTCTGGGAATCGCCGACGATTAATTGTGTCTGTGTGTTTTTTCCCCTCCTGAAAGAGGGCACGGGCTTTACTTCCCCTGGGCGTGCGGGCGTGGTCGTGATGGCGCGGGGGGCTCAATCGCCCTCGAGATGGGGACGTGGCTCAGGCTGCAAGCGCTCATGAAGTCCACGCCTGCTGGTCCCGCCCACAGAGTTCCTGCCCTGGTCGCTCTGGGTGTGGGCCACCGCTCGGGTGTTGGCCATCGTGCTGGTTACCCGTCAAAGTCGGCCCACACTGGAGGCTCCCAGCCTTGGCTGCTGTCTGGGACCTGCCTCGCCATCGCTCGGACGTGCATGACCTGTGCATTTTCCGGCTTCGTGCGCGCACTTCACGCAGGGGGGAACAAGCATGCTCCTCGATGGTCCTCGCCGAGGAGACGTCCGAGCGATGCCAAGCTACGCGCCGGGCAGGAGGAGCAGGAACAGCTGGAGGAGCAGGGGGAGGAAGAGGAGGAGGAGGTGGAGGTAGGAGGTAGGAGGTAATTAGGAGGTAGGAGGAGGAGGAGGAGGAGGAGGAGGAGGAGGAGGAGGAGGAGGAGGAGGAGGAGGGCTGCATGTACGCACACCTGCGCGCGGGAATCCATGTTGGGAGTCAGCGGCGTTCGGAGCGCCGAGAGCGGGGCACACGAACGCTGCTGGCCCCCCCCCCAGGGACCCCGGGCCTGGCCCAACTCGGCGGTCGCTCCCCCACAGAACTGAAGGGAAACTGGGACACGCAAATAAATACACACAAATAAAAAGATGCCCCATATTTTCCCATATTTTCTGGGTTTTTGTCTTCCCCCCCACTTCCCATATTTTCCCATATTTTCCTGGGGATCGACGATTAATTGTGTCTGTGTGTTTTTTCCCCTCCTGAAGAACGCCGACCTCAGCACCTCCGACCTGGCAGCGATCGAACGGTGCTCCGGTCAGCGCCCGCCTGCTGAGCACGGCGTAGCTCCACCATGCCGGTCGGGGGGGGGGCGACAGGGCAGCGTAGCAAAGGGGCAGGGTAGAGAACCAATTCACGTGGCTGGCTTTCCTGGCGCCTCCTGGCGCCGGAAGACGCCCGTGCATCGAAGAATGGGCCCGACGGCGGGGCGGAAACCGGCTGCATGCAGCAGATTTCGTGAACCCCCCCCCCTTCCCTATCCTGCCCTGTCGTCGGGCCCGAGACAGCTGGACGGCCAGGCAAGCGAACGGACGGACGGCGGTTGCCCGTCCTCCCTGAGATCCGACGTGGCGGAAAAATGGCAACATCGTACAAGATCACGCCCAGCGCCCTGGACCCCGCCTTGCTGCGACAATTTTCGGGCCGGACCGGTATAACGTGCGGGCCCCAGGGCCCGAAGCAGGGGGAAAACGCCGGTCGTGAAACACGTGCAGCGCCAGGATCTCGGGGCTCCGCCGCCCGCGGTCCTTGATCATGGCCTCCAGCTCCGCGTCGCCGCAGAGCTCCAGGCTCGCGGGGCTGCAGCCGCTGCCCGGGGGCCCCGCGCTGGGCCCCGCGAGCCCGCCGGCCAGGAGCAGGATGGCGGCGGCCGCCCGCATCCCGCCGCGGCCGCTGAGGCGGAGGAGGAGGCGGAGGAGGCGGAGGAGGCGGAGGAGGAGGCGGAGGGCCGCGGCCGCTGAGGAGCAGGAGCAGGAGGAGGAGGAGGAGGAGGAGGAGGAAGAGGAGGAGGAGGAAGAGGAGGAGGAGGAGGAGGAGGAGGAGGAGGAGGAGGAGGAGGAGCAGGCGGCCGTGCCCACCCGACCGCGGCGCGCACACTCGCTGGAAAGGCAGGACGGTAGCCTGCAGAATGCCGCGGACCAGTGACTTGAACGTGTACTCCGCTTTCGGCGTATCTCTGACAGCACCCTGAGATCCTGGCGCTGCAATTTTTTCACGACGGGCGTTTTCGCCCAGTTTCGGGCCCCGGGACCCTCACATATCGATCCGGCTCGAAAAATGTCGCAGAAAGGTGGGGTCCAGGGCTCTGCAGTTTTTTCGCTACGTCGGATCTCAGGGTGCGTCAGCGTCTGTTCTGTATCATTCCAGCTTCTGGCTTGCCCAGAACGCTCGTGTGTTTCCGTGTGCCAGGGCGCCTCGCGGCCTCTGGCGCATTCGGTACAGCAGGGCTCGAGTTAAGCAATGTCGTCCGCCTCCGTTGTCCAAGGACAGACCACAAAATCCCACCAGCCCTTTGGGCGTGAGTGGTTTAGCGAGCTCTCTCTGTTCTCAACCCCCCTTCTTCCCCTTCGGGGAGGGGTTTACCCCTCCCCCTCCCCCCTCCCCCTGGGCCTGGAGAGGGCGCCCCGCAGGTCGTTGGAGGGGTCTTTTTCGACTCCTGGGAGGGCTAGAAAACGACGACCCACACGAGGATTCTGGCCCCGACGGGGGGACCGAGTTTAGCCCCTCTGCTCTTCTTCGAAGCCAAAATCATTGATTTTACTACGGTTTTGGCCCCATGTTCGCCTCCTGAGGGGGCCGCGCTTCTCTTCCTCCATAGCAAAATCGCTGATTTTACGAAGGTTTTGGCCTCATTTTGTCCTTTTCAGGGGGCAGCGCTCCGTAGCGCTGCAGAGGAGGTCGCAAGAGGCCCCAAGATGGCCCCAAGAGGCCCTCAGGAGGTTCCCAAGAGGCCTCCAAGAGGCCCCCAAGAGTCCCCCAAGAGGCCCCAAGAGGCCCCCAAGAGGCCCCCAAGAGGCCCCCAGGAGGCCCCTAGAGGCCCCCAACAGGCCCCCAAGAGGCCCCCAAGAGGCCCCAAGAGGCTCCAAGAGGCCCCCAAGAGGCCCCACGAGGAGATGCCCCCAACATGTCTCCAAGAGGCCCTAAGAGGCGCCGAACACGCCCTCACAGGCCTCCGACCCAAAGACATATACTTCTACTTCTACTCCTACGCCTACTACTACTACGACTTCGACTCCACTACTGCTACTACTACTACTACTACTACTACTACTACTACTACTACTACTACTACTACTACTACTACTACTACTACTACTACTACTACTACTACTACTACTACTACTACTACTACTACACTACTACTACTAAACTACTACTACTACTACTACTACTACTACTACTACTACTACTACTACTACTACTACTACTACTACTACTACTACTACTACCACTACCACTACCACTACCACTACCACTACTACTCCTCCTACTACTACTACTACTACTACTACTACTACTACTACTACTACTACTACTACTACTTCTGACTACTACTACTGACTACTACTACTACTACTACTACTACTACTACTACTACTACTACTACTACTACTACTACTACTACTACTACTACTACTACTACTACCACTATTATATCTACTACTACTACTACTACCACTACTCTACTACTACTACTACTACTACTACTACTACTACTACTACTACTAACTACTACTACTACTACTACGACTACTACGACTATCTACTACCTACGACTACTACTACTACTAGCTACTACTACTACTACTCCTCCTCCTCCTTCTCCTTCTCCTCCTCCTCCTCCGGGTCCTCCTCCTCCTCATCCTCCCCAAATTCCTCCCTCCTCTCCTCCTCCTCCTCCTCCCTCCTCCTCCTCCTCCTCCTGCTTCTCCAATCCCCACCAGCCCTTAGGGCGTGAGTGGGTTAGGGAGCTTTCTCTGTTCTCACCCCCCCAACCCCCCTTCTTCCCCTTCGGGGAGGGGTTTACCCCTCCCCCTACCCCCTCCCCCTGGGCCTGGAGAGGGCGCCCCGCGGGTCGTTGGAGGGGTCTTCTTCGACTCCTGGGAGGGCTAAAAAAAACGACGACCCTCACGAGGATTCTGGCCCCGACGGAGGGACCCAGTTTGGCCCCTCTCCTCTTCTTTGAAGCCACAATCATTCATTTTACTATGGTTTTGGCCCCATTTTGGCCTCCTGAAAGGGCAGCGCTCCTCTTCCTTCATAGCAGAATCATTCATTTTACGAAGGTTTTGGGCTCATTTTGTCCTTCTCAGGGGGCAGCGCTAACTTGCGCCCAAGAGGCCTCCAAGAGGCCCCCAAAAGGCCCCCAAGAGGCCCCAAGAGGCCCCCAAGAGGCCCCCAAGAGGCCCCCAAGAGGCCCCCAAGAGGCCCCCAGGAGGCCCCCTAGAGGCCCCCAACAGGCCCCCAAGAGGCCCCCAAGAGGCCCCAAGAGGCTCCAAGAGGCCCCCAAGAGGCCCCACGAGGAGCCCGAACGACTCACACCAGGACGAGGGGCCCGAACGACTCACACCACCGAAGAGCCCGAACGACTCACACCACAAGGAGGGGCCCGAACGACTCACACCAGGACGAGGCGCCCGAACGACTCACACCACGAGGAGCCCGAACGACTCACACCACGACGCGGGCCCCGAACGACTCACACCACGAGGAGCCCGAACGAGTCACACCAGGAGGAGGGGCCCGAACGACTCACACCAGGATGAGGGGCCCGAACAACTCACACCACGAGAAGCCCGAACGACTCACACCAGGACGAAGAGCCCGAACGACTCACACCACGAAGAGCCCGAACGACTCACACCAGGAAGAAGGGCCCGAACGACTCACACCAGGACGAGAAAGCCCGAACGACTCAAATCACGAGGAGCGCTTTCTCTCCCTCCTCCTCCGCCTCGTCCTTCTCCCGCTCCCCCCACAAGGAGGATGTACAAGGAGGCGGGAGGAAGGAGGAACAGGGGAGATATGCGGGGCCAAGCGGACACACGCCTGAAAAACACGACTGTCGGCATGCTTCGCAAGAGTTGCTGCTGTGAGATGGGCTGGTGGGGATACGCGAAGCGTAAAGAATGTTTAAAACCCGCTGGCGTTTAGAACGGAAACGTAAACGAATCCGAACGTTGAAAACGAAACGTTTAAAACGATACGGGTGCAAACGAAAACGAAAACGAAACGATGCCACCATTCAGCGAAACAGCAAAACGAAACGAAACGAGCGAGGGAAAACGGCGTTTCCCCTCGCTCTGCCCTCGCTCCGTCCCCGCTGCAAAAGGCGAGACTAGCGAAACGACAGCGGCCCACGAGAGATCGCCGAACAACGCAAACACGGCACGACACGACCGGCCCTGGTCGGCACGTCACCGAGAGCTCCGCGCGACGCGACGCGCGATGCGCGAGAGGCGTGGCTCCCTTCGCGCTCCCGCGCGGCTGATGGGCAAATCTTCCACCACCTTTACACTATGTAGGACGGGGGAGAAGGAAGGACGAGGAGGTCCTCCTCCTCCTCCTCCTCCTCCTCCTCCTTCTACCCATGGTAGTGGTGGTGGAAAATGAGCCCATCAGCGGCGAATCCGGAGAAGGGCGGCTCTCCGGCCGGGTCGGCGAGAGGCGCGATCATCCCCGCGCCCCCCAAGGGCGACGCAGGCGGCGGGCAGATGCTCGAGATATTCGCGCGCCTGGCGGGCTGTGCCGCCCGGCGGGAAAGACAGACGAGCAGCCCGTATCATAAGCAAGGACGCGCGGTAGGGATGCAAGGGCCTTGGAGGCCCGTGTGAACGCTTTTCGAACGAGGCTGCCAGCGAACGTCGCTCAGGATGGGCCGAAAGGGCAGGGATGCAAGGGTACCCTTGTGAAGCTTGTCCGTCCCTGCTATGCGGGTTGACTGCAAAAGAGAGGGGGAGAGTGAGAGAGAGAGAGAGAGAATTGTTGGGGAGGGGCCTTAAACCGAGCAATCAATGATCTCAGCCAAACTCGGAGGTCTCCGATTCCTACTCGCCGTTCTTCGCGCGAGGCTCGAAGGGAGGCTTCCCATAGGGATTTCACCCAGATGCTCCTCGATGGTCCTCGCCGAGAAAAAATGTACACACGTCCGAGCGATGCCAAGAGGGAAGACAGCAGCATAAAATACCTCGGACGCGGCTGCTGAGCAGAGTCGCCGCCAGAGGGCGCGGAGCTGTTCCCGCAAAACTCCGACGCTGGCGACATGGATGGTTTGGCACGCGACGCCAACTGAGGTAAGACACGCAGCACTGGCGACGCAAAACTGACAGAAACCTGCTTCCGTTCGGCTTGCGGCTGGAATATTCTAGTATTCTAGTACCGCTCCAGCCCTAGAGGTCCCCCCAGAGATTTAGGCCTCCGAAGAGCCCAACAAGAACAACATCACACAAGATGCAAAACTTGGCAGCCAGAAATGTTGTTTTCTCTTCGGCCCTGTCGTCCTCTCCGGCTCCTGGCCAGGTGCTGAGGGGCGGAAGACTGCCAGGAGCTACAGCGAGTAGATGGGCAGATAACATGTTCTTCTTCTTCGTCAAACTTTTATCATCGCCCTCCTCCTCTTCCATCGCTTTGCTTCTAAATAACTCCTCCCTGTCCCCTGTCGCGTCCCCAGACGTGTCGGTAGGGCGGGCTTGGCAGTTCGCCTGAGACTCCCTCGCCATGTATGATCCTGATGATTGAAATCTGCAGCTTTTTCGAACATGGAAGGCGGGTCGTCTTCAAAATGTGGCTCTCGCCGTAGCGCCGCGCACATTCGTTTCAAAGTTCGCAACAGTTTCACGGACGGATGGCGGAACTGCGGCTCTCGCCGTAGCGCCGCGCACATTATCTTTAGCATGTTGCAGCAATTTGAGAGGTGGGGGACGGGCCGCTTTCAAAATGTA